GCCGTTGAGACTGACCTGCTTTCAAAAAGGATTATTTATTAACAAGATACAGAATCTCCAGGCTCACCATGGTTCGACCTGGGAGAGACCTGAAGTGTCTGATGTAACCAGGACAGAGGTAATATAAGTTTACAATGGGCGCATCAGGAGTATCTGAAGGAGATTTAGGAGCCCTCTCAGTGGAATGTGTACAATGGGGCCCCTGTGTCCAGAGAGTTGCCCAGGGACTTCTGGACAAGAGATTGTATCTGTGACCTGTGTTGTCCTTTGAGTTTATGACATACATATGACATACATATGACTAAGACAGAAACCCCTGCAGTTGTAGTAAGAGGGGTGTCCTGAAAACAAACAGATGTCCCTATGTTGTTCTCCTGTGAGGTGTGTCCATAAATACCAGAGTTTCTGTGTGTAAGGGAGAGATCACTTTTGGCTGTGTCTCTCCCAGGTCGAACCATGGCGAGCCTGGCGATGCTGTAACTTGTTTGTCAATAAAATGATCATTATGTAAGCAAGTCAGTGTCAACGGAGAATTTCTTCATCATCAAACATATCAACAACAAGGGAATCCACATCAGACCCAAAGCCAAAAGTGATCTCTCTCGAACACACAGAAACTCTGGTATTTATGGACACACCCCACAGGAGAACAACATAGGGACATCTGTTTGTTTTCAGGACACCCCTCTTCATACAACTGCGGGGGTTTCTGTCTTAGATTTATGGATGTCATAAACTCAAAGGACAACACAGGTCACAGATACAATCACTTGTCCAGAGTGGTCTCCACGCCCTTAAGGGGTTAACCTATATGTCCCAGGAATTTCAGACATTTCAGACACTTCAACTGGAATATGATTTTGGATGTATAGAGCAACTCCTCCTCTTAGTGAGATAAATGTTGTGTCTCACTTTTAACAGATATCTCTTTAAAAAAGTTTTCCCCCGCAGAGCTCCTCCTCCTCCTGCAGATGACGTCACGCAGACAGAGGCGGGGAGGAGGAGGAGGAGGAGGAGGAGTCAGTCAGTCCGGGTGAAGTTCGGCTGCAGAGAGGAGCCCCTCCCTGACTGCGAGGATTAAAATCTGCAGAAGAGGAAGAAGCATGGATGAACTTTGATCAGGAGGACACGCCAGGTGCTTCACGTGACACTGGATTTAAGGTCAGTTATTGAACGTGCGCAGGTAACGTGACTAACGTCAGATCTGTACGTTACAGCTGTGTGGGGCTCTCCGGTCGTAACGCAGAACGGAAAAACGTTTGTGCAGAGAGCCTTTATTCCCGAGCAGCTCGAAACCGCCTACTACAGACGACTGTCTAAATCAGTATGCAGTAAACTGTTTACTGTCGTCTGTAGTATGACTGCCAGTCGTCGGTTATTTTGCAGTACGCTTGGCACGGTTAAACTGGTTTTACTCAGCTGTGAATACACACACACATTCAGCTGTGTGAATGTGTAGTAATAGAGCAAGCCAAGCACCCTGTAATTGCAGCTGCTTGTCCAGCTGTGGTGAAGTGTCTGACGTAACTAGGGCAGAGATAATATACTGCTCCTTTAAGTTTATAACGTGTACATCTGGAGAGAGTTTGTATCTGAAGGAGATTTAGGAGTCTCCTCAAGTTGAATGTTTACATTGAGGTGTTGTGTAGGAGTATTGCCAAATATGGATGTGTTACATGATGTTTTTTATGATCCATGATGAAAAGCAGATGTTTAGATGCATATAGGCGATTGTCTCTGTGTGTTCGAGAGAGATCATTATTGGCTTCTTGATCCTCCTGGTCAGACGTGACCAGTGACTCTGTTTCTTGCTTAAATAAAATTATACTCTTTGAAAGCAAGTCAGTCTCAACAGCGAATTTTTTCATCATCAAACATATCAACAACAACGAAATCCACATCAGTGGCACATGCACTGTGCAGTCTACAAAGCAGGAAAATCTTAAGGTGGTAAGACATATAAATATATGAACATGTCATATTTGTTATTGGTTCTTAATGTGGCAAGATATTCAGTCACCGCCACTGATGCGTTCAAACAGCTGAGCTCTGGCATTTTGATCTCTGACCTGGCACTTTGCATTGTGGGAAACAGTACGTGAGGTAGACTGGTCCAATGCATACTGTACAATTTTCCCGAATCAGTATGACATCCTGGTATTTTTGGCATACTGCAGATCTCACAGTTGATCGAGCAGCTCTGATCGTGCAGCTCTGATCGAGCAGAGCTGATCGTGCAGATCTGTTAGTACGAATTTTCATGAAATTAATTCATCTTGGTAACTTTGTGAAATGTATTATTCAAGTCTGTCTACCGTGTCCATCTTGTAGTAGATCTTTATTTGTTTAGGAGCCAACCATATATTGTCAACAACTGTTTGCTAGACAAAGAGTCTACATCTGTTACGTAGACAAATCAGTGTCATGTCATCTTTATTGTTTTATAGTGATGTACCCAAATAGAAAGGAATTTGTGGGTTGCACCTTTTAACAGAATATAAGCAGCACTGTGAACACTGTTACTTTGTCAGTCAGTGATTTGTAAGCATGCATGTTTGGTGAAGTTGTCTGATCTCGGCCGATTAAATGGTGTTATAATCTCCAGTCTGTTTCACGATTTCTTCATACAACAGAAACAACACCCACCTAACAAGCTCTGATCGAGCAGCTCTGATCGTGCAGCTCTGATCGTGCAGCTCTGATCGAGCAGCTCTGATCGTGCAGCTCTGATCGTGCAGCTTTACAGAAAGGCAGAACGAGCCCCTGGATGCTGACATGATAGATACTATAGTGTCTAAAATGTTTAGATATTTTAATGTTGGTATCATATATTGTGAACTATGGCAAGCCCTTTTAACTTTAAATATCACGATAATAGCATTTGTAGATATGAATAATTGCTTTTTGACATGATCACAGATATCTGTAATTCCATTTTGACATGTTAAAAGTCAACATATCCATAATGAAGTTTTGACATTCTTGATATCTACAACTCAATTCATACTAGTGCCAAAGTTACATAGTGCTGAAAACAGGTCAGTGGGGCGCTCCTATTAGTACTGAGGTTAATTGGCCTCTTTAGTGTGACTGCGCCCTGAGTAGTCATTGCTAGGGGGACAAGAACTTACACCTTTATTTATTGCTCAGCTTTGATGTCCAGTAGTGTGGGGGCGGGGGTCATCATGCTTACCTGGATAAGCTTGACATCTGGTGTCGAGTAGATTTAAATATCAAAGCACTGAATGATACAAAGAATAAAGGAAGAGGACGTACCCGTGCAGTCATACGTATCCTACAACATCTACTGAGGATCTACTGACGATGAGTTCAGAAGGCTGTTGTTCATCCGGACTGAAAGCAAACCTTATCTGCAATACATAGATTTATTTGATCTGTATTGGTTAAGTATTAAAGGTCCAATCAGTGAGATGTGTAGAGAGTGAAACACATACACATATGGGCGCGGCACTGCTATGTCTGTCATGGCTTGTCCCTAGCTCCCATTCTCTTTTGCTAGTTTTGTAAAGCTCCTGCATATCTCTTAAAGTAACCGTGAGTTCATGAAGACTGTTCGTTTTCATATTTTGTACTTATATTCATGTAAAAAGTGTAGCGTTAACTCTGCTAGCTTCGCCGTTTCTCTATGGGATTTCCCATGTGATTTGTTAGCATAATGCTAAGCGAGGATTGATCTCCTTTAATTCAGTTAAACTGGAAACCTGTTTGCAACTGTATTGCATTGATAAGAAGCTCTTAAGTAGAAGAACCGAATTATTTTAGATTTGTGAAAAGAATAATAACATACAGAAAGTTTATTTTGTAGTTTTGAGAACTTTTGCATGTAATATAAGACAAGTATAAGTTTATGTATTTTCTGTGCATATTGTGTTGAAATATGGATGAAATGCTGTTTTTGAAGAAAGAAAACAGATGTATAAAATTTAAGGATTGGCAGAAGCGAAAAATAAAGCTAGTCCGAAAGCATTCATCCGTTTGACGCAAACTCAGACATGTTCAACACATCTCGTTGTGCTCTGCACGTTATTTCGTAAAAGGGCGTGGCCGTAGTGTGCGTTCAAAGTTTGATATGCATTTTGGCAACTTGCCAAAAAAGTAAATGGTTATATCTCTGCAATGCAGTGTTCAATCATATTAAAATTTCTCATACATGATACAGGGCCCACCCTGAACACATCCATGATTTACATTTTTTTCTTAGTCACAGCGCCACCAGTTGACAACAGGAAATTACTGCTTCTCAATTAGCATTAGCCATTGCTACAAGGTAGCTCATTTCCCACTCAAAATTGGTGTGGATCATGCAAACAACCTGGCCATACAACACTTTCAAGCTCACACACCTATGTCTAACGCTCTCGCCATACGGATGCATCATTCGCCATCTACTTCATGTATGATCAGGATTGGCCTCTGAACACATGTTTCTTAGATCTATGTGCGACCTGCAGAGACAGATATTCACATTTATCCGTTGATCCCTCAAATACAGTTTTCAAACACTTGTGGAAGAGATTTATAATGAAGACAAGATGGTCACTCGACTGGAAAGTAACTGAGCATGAACGTGCATCACCGCTTCACACTCTGCAGAGTGATGATACTTGTTGTAATCCATATAGCGCCCTCTGCTGGTGACAGAGAGCTGCTAGTGTAATACAATGCAACTCAAATGAAATGCTATTTGACTAGTGAATAAATCTATCGGTGCATAGCTGCGATAAAATTTGCCAATACCGATAGTCACTGGATATGCTAATATCGGCAGATATTATCAGCTGACAAATTTATCTGTCAGGCTCTTAATAGTAAAAACCTTGGTGCCTTTACAAAAAATACTATATACTATACATATTACAACTGTTAATATGTTTGTATTGATCCTTGTCTCTTTTAGACGCGTTGCCACTTGGACGGGCTTCTCAGCTTAACGGACCATAACGATGGATTCTCGTACCTGGATGTACCAACAGGTTGGACCAGCCTTACAGTCCTCACAAGCTGCCACTCAGTTTTTACAGGAGACAATGAGGAATCAGCAGACGGTGAACAGATCACATCAGTACCAGACATCTAACACAGTCCCCGTACCGCAAGATTCTCAAAGATGGAGAACAAAGTGGCAGGCGTTAACTGCTCATAATCAGGCAGCGTCCTCGTGGCAAACATCTGGAGGGAGAACTTACCAGAACTACAGGAGAGAGTCGTATGGAAACTATCAAAGCGGAGCTCCTGTGATGGTCAATAATGGATCTCAGGGTTCCACTCAGCTAGTTTCTCATCAGAACTCTCCTCAGAATTCATTCAACATGGTGACAGCAAACCCGCCGAGTGGTTTGATTCAGAACGTCTTTTTTCAAAATGCAAATGGAGGGTCAGCACAAACAAGGACCCTTACCTCCTTAACAAATGAGCAAGTGACCAACGTGTCACTGCCTTCAGCTGCTCATAACCTCAATCACAGCCAGATCAGGGTTCAGAATGGATGCCCTCGCACAATACCTCCACCAAATTATCACTCTGCCGTCTCTCAGTATTCAAGAAACCAAAGTGTTACAAGCTCACCGTCAGTTCAGCAGAAGTTTGAGACGAAGTTTGGTCGGCTTATTCTGCCGAAAACTCAACTCAGCGACGGCAGACAGTTTGACAACTCTTGGTTATCAAGAACAAGTCAGCCACCTTTAAATCCCTCTTCTGAAACGATGGAGCACATGAGGATTGCAAGAATCGAGGAGGATCTTCGTAAGTCAGTCCCTGTTGGATTAGATGGTTGTTTGTCAGATCACACAGGTTCACAGTACAGTGTGAAGCACTTTCTAAGACAGATGTTGCCCAACCGTGATGTGCAGCCTGCTGAAGATACTACCTCTCACGTCCGCCAATCCTCGCCTCTCACTTCTGCACGCTCTCTGCCTGAAACCCCCCGCACATCAGTGGTAACGGTAACACATCAAAGCATGGACTCAGCTCCTCCTCACAGCTCAGTCTTCTACGGCAGAGCGGCAGGAGATGGAGTCAGAAACGGAGGAATGGCAGCAAATTACTTTCCCCCTACAAATAACCAGGTGTCTAACGTGAATCATGGTGGAGCTGTAAGGGCTGCGTCTCAGGTGATCAATGGCCCCGCTCAGTTGTCTTCTGGTCGCATGAGAGCTGTTGCTGTTGCTGTTGTGCCGCCGTTGTCACAGGAGAGCCAGCACGATGCTACGAAGCACTGCTCGTCTCACACGAGCTCTAAAGAGGCCAAATGTGCCACCATGGATGAATCTTTGTGTGTGCGTCAGACAAATATCAACAACAATAAAACTCAAGATTTTACGGAGTCTCACCTCAATTCAGAAAACCCAAATGATTCAGCTGGGCATCAAGGAGTGCCTCCAAAATGGTCCTGCATTGACGACACAGGATCAGTGCTGGTAACTAACGTGCAACCTGCCTCTGCTCCAATCCCTGCAGCCCCTGAAGCACCAGCGAGCTTTGTGGAGCTCTCTTCAATCCAGACTGTTGAATGCACACTTAACACATTAAAAAAGTTGATTGAGCATTTCGATAGAGCGCAGAGTGCTCAATGTGTAAATTCCCCTTTGCTCAATCTGGGGCATCAGGTGTTAGAAATGTTCTGGGGTGGCCATCATAAAATGTGTTTAACACATATGAGAGATTTGTACAAACCAATAATCGTTATGGCAAAAGAATATTGCAAAGAACATTTAAAAAAGAACACCGTCATTACATCAAGAGTCAAAAAAGCCCATTTCAAGTCACTGGAGGACCACCATACCCTCCAACACGATGACGTTTATACAGAACCGCCCTACAAATCAACGTGGCTGAATCTTAATGAGCAGGTCGATGACATCGATAAAATGTTCGGCCTCCCGTTGCCTCTGAGGCGTCGTGCTCACACGCTTGACAGTGACGTCCAGCTGGATGAGGACGAGATCCTCAACCTTTCGGCTCAATTGAGAAGTGACTCGCCATACAAGGAGTTGTCCCAAACAGAGCCTGAGCTGGCTGACTCAGGTGTTGAATTCTTAGCCTTCACTGATGAAGAGGCTTCCATACCAACCGATGATGCCAGCAACCCTTTGCACTCATTGGAATATGAAGTCCTTCCTCTAGAAGAGGCCATAGCAGTCTTTGAACGAGCAGGTCGAGACGCCAACATTCTGCCGGAGATAGTCAAGGACAGATCGGTGGAGGCCAAGGCGCTGAACGCCACGTCCAGTGACTCCACAGAGGAGAAGATGATGTCAGTCGGTCCGATTGAAGAGGTGTGCTGCATCCAAAGGTTAATGCTGATCATTAATGGGTCAAACATGAACAAGAGGGTGTGCCAGTGTCAGAAGGAGCAAAGTCCCAATAAAAACACTTACCAGACTTTTGGGGAGGAAGTGGTGACAGAACTTAAGAAAGATGAAGTGTATGTGATCGAGCCAGGCGGCAATTCAGACAAAACTCCATCCCAAGCTGTGGAGAGCATGGACACACAAATGATTGAAACCACTGACACCTCATGGGACGAAGAAACAAATATCCTCACTGAAATGTTGAACAGCAGCCGGCCGAGCATCACCCTCCTGAGTGGAAATGAAAATGGCAGTCTCTTCGGAGGAGAAAATACAGAGCAGACAGAAGACCCGAAGAAGGATTCTGAACGAGCTCGGGAGAAAGTTAGAGAGTCCAGGACCGTCAATGGCGTTCAATCGGACAATCAGGTGGATGGAGAACAGGATCTGTCACGATGTGCTGTGGTCAGGAGGGATGGAGACATGAATCTCTCCAGCTGTAAAAGTGGAGTCCAGATGTTAGACCTGCAAGAGAGCTGTGGAGATGTGGGGGGGTCATCACTGAAAACCATCAAAGAACCATTTGTGGCTGTGCAGCGGACTTCTTTAAACCTCAGTCGAAAACATGAAACGTTCGTAAGAAAGCGGAAGAGACGACACAATCGTGTCAGACTTTTTCACCCTTTGAAGAAATCCGAGAAACGTTTCGTTGCTGTGGATTCACATGCTGCTCTTCAGGATGTCTCCAAATGTAGGACGAGCTTAGCCGACGGTGAACCTTTCGTCTCACATTATAGAACTGTAAAGTTGACTCTGTTCGGCTCGCCAAAACATGACAAGCTTGATTTTTCCACGAACAAGGCTCCAAAAGTCCTCTCTGTGCTCGTCAGTCCTTTGAAGAAAAGGTCCAGTGCACCCGTCCCTGCAGGGGGACCCTCATTGAAGCTACGCATTCATGAAAAATGGCGAGAAAGTATTCCCCAGAGTCAGGTAACCTTCAAAAGCAAGTCGACAACACAGAGGTGTAATTACTCGTCTTCATCGGGGGGGAAACTTGAGACGTCTGAGCCGGTTGTTTCTGCAAAGAGGAGCGATAAAAGGCTGAAGAGGTTGCTTTCCAAAGTGACCAAACAAAGGAAGGAGACGCTGAAGAGGGATGTGGCCGCAAACAAGAAGCCTGCTGAAAACAGGAAGTATTCAGTCAAACCTCTGCACGATCAAAACATCCTCGTGTTCAGCGTGTTACCCAAAACCTTCAACTTCCAAGATGGAGCCCAAGAGATGGAGAACCCCAAAGAGCCTGCTCCAAGTAAGTCACAACATAAGAGAAGTTTGACTGACTTTTTACTCTGAACTTTAGGTATCCACGCCTGACCAGAGGCTCAGGTTATATTTTCCGCTTGTTGTAATCCCCTCCCCCCATAACAACAAAATAAATCAAGGACATTTCTTTAGTGACGGCGGCACCAGAAATTCAAACCATCTTCGCAGAGTCATCACAGGGGTAAATGAGGCGACGCCCTGCGAGCTCGTTCAGGCAGTCAGCTGAACTGCACTGATTTCACACCCTGGGGGGTTTAAGATATCATCCCATCACTCCTCAACTTTCAGCATGTGAATTAAAACTGTGAGGAGTGATGAGGTCAGAGCCTAGACGACAAGCACATATTCTGTTCAGCTGCAATAAATATTTTAAACGATACAAACGTGAGTTGTCTGACTGAACTGAAGTTTCCTCTGATGTATTTTTTGGTGAATTTCAGCTGAAGGATACAGACTCATCATCGACCCTGATGACAACTCTAGAGACCCAAATATAAAAATGTTTCACTTGTTACTAAAAACAAAAGTATTTCCTGTTGAGCATCGTTTCTGAGGGATGTTTCTGTCTGTTATTGGTCGACACACTTCATATGAACACAGTTAAATTAGTTTTAACATTCACGACTCGTCTTCAACCTGTAACTCAGCTGGTCATCTCCCTCCACCGGCTCCCAGTTACTGCTCGCATCAAATTTAAAACTCTGCTGCTCGCTTACAAAACAGCCACAAAAACGGCTCCTCCTTACATAAAGTCTCTGCCTCTGGTCACTTCCTGTCAGCGCCTGTGCTCTGGCTCTGGTCACTTCCTGTCAGAACCTCTGGTCTCTTCCTGTCAGCTCCTGTGCTCTGCCTCTTGTTTTGTTCTTGCTCTGATGTTTGTCACTTTGGATAACAGCGTCTGCTAAGTGAATTGTTTGTGTACTACATTAACCATGGTTCCTTTTGTTTCTTTTACAGATGAGACTGAACTTGTTGAAGAACAGAATCCGAACCAAACTGTCTTGAAGAAAAAAGGTAAAAAATAAATACATTTCAAATCTCTTTTTTTCATCCTTTCAGTGGTGGTACAGTTTGATCTAACCGGTGTGAATCATCCGTTTCACAGTGTCATGGAAAAATCCAAACTCGGACAAGAAGTATTTTCCTCTGCGGCGAGACTCGTCCAGCGTCTTCTTGGACTTTCAGAAGAAATACATCAAGAAGACGCAGCAGGAGTAACGCCACCTTTTCCTTTTTGTTCTCGTTTGTCAAGAAGAAACTTGTATTTGCTGTGAAACACGTCAGTATAACAAGATTTTTAAACACTTGAACCAGATGTTTACATTACATTTCTGAAGGTGCTGTCTTTGACCTCTAAACATTTGCAGACTGAACCGCACACAAATGTTCTTGTTTATATTTTCTAAGTTTTGTACTTTATATTTTTATACGTGCATGTAAAACATATTTTTGATAAGAGACCAGAGACGTGTACTTCTGTTTGCAGCCTTTTTGCAGCTATTCGATAACCTCAGGTGTGAATAAACAGACTTTTTTACAGCTGTTGGTCCGATGTATGATGTCATTGAAACACAGGACACAATTATTGAGATTTGAATGGTGCATCACAAACTTCAACCAAGCCCTTTGTTTTTTTTTTTAAAAAAGCTCCTGAGATGAGTTAGCTTCTCTCTCTTATGACTTGACCTCGCAGAGTTCTTTTCTAGGTGAAAAGAAATGAATGATCTAAACTGGAATGACATAATCACCTCTGAAGATCTCGAGAGCTGCTGCAACGTATTTACTGATAAAATCAACTTTTACAGTAAGGGTCCAAAAAAAATCTAAAAGAGTATGTAATCTACCCCAGTTAAACAAAAACCTATGGAAACTCATGAGGAGCAGAGATTCAGAATTTAAAAAGGCAATTAAATCCAATAAAAGGGGACACTGACATGTTGGTTTCTGAAGACCTAAGGAACAAGGTTTCTTAGGACCTAAGAGCCAAATCCCGTTTTTATCTTAATATAATGAAAGATGCAAAGGTTTTCTGTTGCTGTTACTTTTAACCATTATTTTTTTGAAGCTGTAAATGAACTAGGTGGAAACTTAACAGAAAGTTAAAGTTCCTGTAAATACGGCAGATCAGGTTAATGATCTGTTGTGTGTGTGTGTGTGTGTGTGTGTGTGTGTGTACGTACATCTGAACAAGTGATTGTATCTGTGACCTGTGTTGCCCTTTGAGTTTATGACATCCATAAATCTAAGACAGAAACCCCCGCAGCTGTATGAAGAGGGGTTGTCCTGAAAACAGAAACAGATGTCCACATGTTGTTCTGTGTCCATAAATACGGCTGTCTTGTGTTTTCGACAGAGATCATTATTGGCTTCATGTGCAGACGTGCTCAGTGATACTTTTCTTGCTAATAAAATAATTCTTTTTAAAAGCAAGTCAGTGTCAACAAAGATTTTCTTCATCATCTGCATATCATCAACTACTGTGTGTGTGTGTGTGTGTGTGTGTGTGTGTGTGTGTGTGTGTGTGTGTGTGTGTGTGTGTGTGTGTGTGTGTGTGTGTGTGTGTGTGTGTGTGTGTGTGTGTGTGTGTGTGTGTGTGTGTGTCTCTGTGTCTCTTGTTTGTGTGTGTGTGTGTCTCTCGTGTGTGTGTCTCTTGTGTGTGTGTGTGTGTGTGTGTCTCGTGTGTGTGTGTCTCTTGTTTGTGTGTGTGTGTGTCTCTCTGTGTCTCTTGTGTGTGTGTGTGTGTGTCTCTGTGTCTCTGTGTCTCTTGTGTGTGTGTGTGTGTGTGTGTGTGTGTGGGATCACAGTGTTCATAGTCAGATCGCCTTCATTGTCCTTGAAAGTATTTTTGAAATGCCCTCGACTGGAGCTGCCTTCTGTCAGAAATACTTCACATTCTTCATCTTCATCTTCAGCAGCTTGTAAAGAAGTTACAGTGGCTGTTTTGATTTCAGAAGTAAGTTTAGTTTTTTCTGTTTGACCTTGTTGAATGTGCTGCTGCCCGTCTTGGTCAGGTCACTCCTGTAAAACAGATTCTTCATCTCAGTGAGGTTTTGTTTTCCTGGTTTCAAACTATTTTAATATCTCAAAAACATAAAATCTTCCTCTGGATGTGTCCTTGAAGTGCCTGCCTCCTCCGGAGTCTCATGAAGCTTGGCTGATCACACACAAACTCCTCCTCTTCTCCAAGGTTCTCCTGCATATCATCACATCAGAGGAGAGCAGCTGGACCTCTGACAACAAGTCCTTCACATAAAGTCATGCAGTCCTTGACATCTACAATGAGGAACACATTCCAGGTCTCTCGATTGTTGAACTTAACAGGAAAGCAACGCAGAGGCTGGGAAGCTGTTTTCACACAAGCACTCCTACAACACAGTTTCTCTCTCTCTCTCTCCTCTCTCTCCTCTCTCGTGTGGAGGATGTCCAGGCTCTGCTGTAAACCCTCTGGGGAGGGAGACAGGAGAACCTGGTCATCAGCAAACATCAGACATTTGACCTCTGTGTCCTGCAGGGTCACACCAGGAGCTGTGGACGTCTGCAGTTCTTCTGTGAATGTGTTCATATATATGTTAAAGAGGGTTGGGCTCATGTCGCAGCCCTGTTTCACCCCACGGTACTGCCTGAAATAATTTGTTCTTTTGTTTCCAATTTTAATTGCACGTGTTATTTACATGCATAGTTTTAATTGAATCATAGGTTTCCCCCCTATGCCACTTTCTAGTAATTTGTAAAAGAGTCCTTCATGCCAAATGGAGTCAAAGGCCTTCCTGAAGTCTACAAAACAAGCATACATTTTTTTTTCTTTTGGTGTACATGTTGGTTAATGAGAGTGCTGAGGGTGAAGATATGATCTGATGTGCGATGGTGAGGCATGAATCCAATCTGACTTTTATGCAGGACGTTGTGTTCTTTTAAGAAGTCAACGATCCGGGCGTTTATGATGCTGCAGAGCACTTTGCCCAAACAGCTAGTGACCTCTGTAGTTCTGAGGGTCACTTTTGTCACCACTTTTAAATATCGGTGTAATAAGACCTTGACTCCAACTCTCAGGGAAATATCCCACACTCAGAATTAAATTGAATAATTTGAGAATAGCCAATTGGAATTGTTCTGTGCTGTATTTTAGCATTTCGTTCAGTATGCCATCAGGGCCACATGCTTTTTTTGTTTTTGAGGGTCTTTAATTTAGTTTTCAGGTGGTTCAAATTAACGGGGAGCTCTAGGGGGTTTTAGTAGTCTTTGATGACCAGTTCCATATTTTGTAGTTTTTCTAGTATTTGAATGGTTCCAGAGTCAGTTCCTGGTGGTTTAGGTCCAAATAAGGACTGGAAATGTTCAGTCCATATGTCTCCGTCCTGTATGACCAGCTCTTCAGGCTCAGACTGACAGACAGACTTCCACTGGTCCCAGAAAGAGTTCGACTCGATGCTCTCTTCAAGTCTCTCTTATTGTTTCTGTGTATGGTGGATCTTTTTGTTTCTGATTGTATTTTTATAAGTTTGAAGTGTTTCAAAGTACTGAAGGCGTAGTTGACTGTTTGAAGGTTCTCTGTGTTTAAGATTTGATAATTTTCTTTTCTCAGATTTTGACACTCTTTGTCAAACCACTGCTTCTTTTTGGTTGTTTTCCTTTTTCCTTTTTTTTGCTTTTCTTTCAAAGATAAAACTCATATTTTGGACAGCCTTACATATGCCTTCAGTAGTGGGGGGGGGGGGGGGGGGGTAGGGGTAATCTATAAAGTCTTGTACTAATGATTGGCTCTCTTCACTATTGCTTGCCTCTTGGTATTGCTCGCTCTCTCTCTCTCTCTCTCTCTCTCTCTCTCTCTCTCTCTGGTCCCACATCCAGGTGTGAACAGCTGTAACTCAAGCCGTCCTGCTGTGAACTTCTCACCCCAGATGCTCTTTGTCTCTGACCCCTGAGAGGCCTCGATCAGGAGCAACTGGTCCGATCCGGCTCATTCAGGAGTCTGTGCTTCATTATTCTGCTAAGCTAAAGCTAACTAAGTACAGAAAGATGTCAATAAATCAAAAAGTAGGTTTGTGTCCCAAAAGAAGAAGTGTCTGTCTGTCTCTCCCGGCAGCGTTTGACTAAAGCAGAACATAACAGAAGGTCAGTAAGTGAAGGTTACATTTACACGTATAAAAGTATTTATTCATTCGAGTGTGAAGGGACCGTCTACAAAGTGACAGACTTTCAGAAAGTTTCTCAGGATCACAGTCGACATGTCCCCCCCCCCCCCACGTCTCTCCACGGGGCTCTAAAAGGTCCCACTAATGGGCCGCATGTCTCTGACTGCTGTGATTTATGTGTCTAAGTGAAACTCACACTGAGCCTCCTACTGCTCAACTCTCCCTCCCCTTCTCTCTCTTCCTTCACTTCTTGTATCTTTTCATATGTTTCTTATAGTTGTGTAATGTGTTTGCTGGTTGTAGTCTGTCTGTTGATGTCTCAGTATTTTTGCTGTCTTTCTTTTCTTATTGTATTTTGTCGTTGCTGTCCTGACCTTGTCTGTTTGTTTTTTCTGTGCCTTATTTGTCATGTATATGTCACCAGTTTGTCACGCTATTGCACCTCATTAAATGAATGAATGAATAAAAACCATTCCTGAGATAATCCACTGCTGGTACGGAGGTGCTCTCTGCCTCCTGTGTGTGAACAAAGAGTGTGTGTGTGTTTGAAGATACAAGTATATCCATCTCACATAGAACTGTGTTTGTCTTTGATTGAAATGGGGGCGGCAGTTGCGGTAGAGGGTCGCCGGTTCAAGTCCCTGGCCTGGTAGCTGGAGAGGTGCCAGTCCACTTCCTGAGCACTGCCCTTGAGCAAGGCACTGAACCCCAAAACTGCTCTGGAGCGCTCGCTGTGGGCCGCCCCCTCACTCTGAGACCTCTCCATTAATGCATGTCCACAGGATCCTGTTTGTTCATGTGTGTGTTCATGTTTATTAAACAGAGTGATTCATAAAGGATCAATTCAAAATGAAATATGAAACACACATTGTGAGTGTGTGTAGTTGTCAAACTGAAAGCAGACATCACAGCCGTTTTTACATCTGCACTCCTGAAAACATGGAAATCATTTGAGGAGGACTGCTCCTGACTGCAGACGCAGCACTGAGGGAATGCTACTTTCAACATCAGGCTACTTTTAGAAAATGACCAACCCTGCCTTTAAGCGTGATATTGATTTGAGGTCATATCGCCCCGCCCTGCTAACCAGGCTACCGGAGCAGCAGCAGCACGGCGCCATGCTTCCTCTCCTGAACACAGACAGAAGAGAGGGAGTTGTTTTGATACAGCTGATCATTCAAATATCTAAAAGAAGTGATCATTCAGATTGGGAAATGTACCAACCTTCCTTGTTTGTGTGACTTTCAAAAAAACACAGTCCTCTCAACCTCACACAGTCCATGTTTTCTTGAAGAATAATTCTCTCAGGTGTTCAGAGTTCAGGTGTGTAGCTCCAGACGCCGCTGCAGCTCAGGCCGTAGTTCTCCTCTCTCACACTGTCGGGCAGCTCAAACTGAGCCAGCGGCC